CATAGTGTAGTGTCTTTATTAATTTAACTATTTATATATTGTGTTGAGCAACACCAACGCGTATTAGTCCCCACGATCATTCAGTGCGATCAGCACACAGTCGTTATCTTAGTGGATATAGTGTTATAATTACACTGGGGTTGGTATTGTTGCTAAATACCTGAGTACCCTACCCTTACACATTGATGAAAGAAAGTGTTGTTTTACTTAAACAGAAGCGATGCTTCAGCAAGCCCCTTGTTTATTAGTCACTCCAATTATTTAAACATATATTGAGTTAGACAAAGCTAGGTCTTACTACTGCTAGCAAGTTGGCCCCCGAAATTAAAATAAATAATGGTAGCACCTCTGATGTTTATGTGTAATACCTGTATACAGCTGCTGACCCAAAATGTAGTTATAGCGTTATCAGATGGATTTTCAAAAACGTTATTATAACCAAAATCTTCCCAGAATTTCCACTTTGAGTCGTAATCTAGGAAAACGTTGGCACACCTAATATCCATCTTATTCTACCTCTGTTTTGGGACAGAAAGGTCCGGAGGGCAACTGAACTGCCATAAACACCTTCCACTTGATGTGTCTGTCTATGTACGAGTGTCTGGAGATCCTTTCTGTATGCCTCTCAGCCAGCCGCTGGGGCATCTGTCAAAATGATCACTGTTGGTAGGGGTTGTATGAAGGGCATTATGACCAACAGGTGATCAGGGATGGTCCACCAAACTATCTTCCCCCTGCACCTGACTTGCAGGTGGGCTGGGAGGTATAGGTACCAGGCTAACTTGGAGTGTCCAACAGAAAGCAGTGTATTGTTATGGTGAGCAAAGCAGCCTGAAGAACCAGAGTGTTAGTTTCTAAATTGTGGTCATTGGCCGAGAAAACATACAGGAAACTCCCACCTGATTTTGTTGCAGTGATTAAATTGACTGGGAGGCACAATATAAATCATTGCAGTGTCCACTCCACTTCGAAAGTATGTGAAGTGTTGGGTTGTCTCTCACTGTGTCTACAAACCCCAACATCCTCAGGAATGGGAGAAGAGTGTACTGCGTGTGCTCGTCTCTCTAAGTTGATAGTGGAGAAACCAGTCGTACATTTACGAGTATACCAAGATACCCAGCATGCGAATTTGAACTACCACTGCCTTGCACATCATCGTAAACACAATCTATGTGAGTAGAGGCCATGGATCGAAGTACTCAAAACTGCATGGTACACTATTATTTCTACCACAACAGGCTGGCTTGCCAGATCCATTGTTATGTGTAGGTGTGCATTCTTGAGGCCCATGGCAGTCATAAAATTGTGTTTTTTTACATACTGCCATTAGCTCATACAATAATTATCGTGAATGACTATAGGTTGACTGAAGTGTTCAAGGCTGGCATACAAATTTACTACTAGTCTTAGCTAACCCAAATCTTTTGGATCTAGTAACAGATTCATGTAAAAACCAGGATCAGTTATTGGGTAGGAAAATATTGCCCCCCCCCCCCTGGCTAGTAGGAACAATACCTCCGACTTTAATGCCGTTGCTTTCAAACAGCTCTATTTCTAAAAGTATGATCAGGTCTGTTATTAGCCCCTCACTGACACAGACTGGAATGTCCAGTGGTAGTTGCATAAACAGATATGTAAACAAATTTGAAAAACTTGACTAAACTTGGTGTTCGTGGTCCACAGTTGATGGCAGAAACCCACTATGTAGTGTATCGTTTTGTTGGTGTTTGTAGGACACTGTCACCTCTTGTCTTTTAAAGGGCAGAGGGTGTAGCAAAGTGTGTGACGGACTGAACAAGCCTGGAAAGGTTAGTACCATTTCCGTGTGTATCGCTTTCCATCCCGGTACGGATTTTGTTCACTTTGCAGAGCGAATGTTATATTTAACATAACATCAGTCCTGTAATTTTGGCAGTTTTCACTTCAGGGGACACTTTGAGAGAAACATAACACTATCATAAATTATGATAATGCTTTAATAGTAAATGCACACATGATTGTAAAATACTCTTCTATTTAAAATAAGAATTATACATAATACATTCACAATTCAACTTTTTTAAAATGGGAAACAAAATCACCGCTGAATATCACAGAATCATGGATATTAATTAGGAAAATTTACATCAAATTTAATGCATATACATTATGCACAAATAGATATCAAATGGATACTATGTAAAAGATATGATAATTTTCCAAATATATCAACACTTTTCTTGCAGTTAATTTGGATATACACAATCTTGTCTTTTTGTTTGCAGAGGTAAATTCTCTAACAAAATATTAAAACTGCCAAATAGCATAGTTACTGATTTAAAATTAAATTGTTATAGTAAAAAAAAAACATTGGACTACAGAAATTATTGTCTTTGAGTCGGTTATACAAGAATACTACTAATTATATGTCCAAAGGTGATGAGAATATCAAGGCATATCAGAGGTTGATGCAACCAATTCTGCTCAAATCAAATTTGTGAAATATGACATAACTGTGAACTGTGACATTTGATTATATATTTGAGACAAATTTGTGAAAATATTTGATGACATACTTTCTAGTATTTTTTAATCAATCATAAGGACTCGCAAATATCTGGTCGTAATTGTTCAAAACAGTTGCATCATGACTGTTATGTGACAGTCAGATTACACATTTTTCGACATAATTGTGACATAATAAACAAGGTAAAAAATAATAATAATTTATTTGGTTTTGAGGAAACAAACCAAATTTGTTAATATTTTAGACTATAAATCATACAATACAAAACCAAGAAATGAGACTAAATATAGTAAAACAAAAAATCTTTTACTTTTTAAAACTACACCAACACAGTATAAATATGACAACCTATATCAAAAATATCTGGTAGACTAGCAGTAATTGGTCCTTAATGCTGTTATGTTGCCAATTCTGGTCAGAAAAACACAGAAACATATATAATCTTTGGAAGTACTAGAATAAGTTAGTTTCAATCTATAATATATACAAATTATTATCAACACATTTTTTAATAAGTCAGAAAACGTTTGTTTTTGGCAAAACATAAACAAATGCAGTGTCAAAAATGATGGGTCTCCTTACACTGTGGATTACATCGTCTTCTATCTTTGGTATGGAAATCCTGGATTATAAACACCATCTTCAAGATATGCAGGATTAGGAAAGACAAGTGGATCCTATAAAGCAACAAGAAATAATAAAATGTAACAAACAAAATTTTCAAACTGATTGAATTGAATAGGTAACCACAGAAAAGAAATAACTGCCTGTCCAGTTTTCAGTGAATATGTCTATTATAAAAATTGATTATAATGAAATGTTGGGAGTACTCTGCATGTTAATATACGCACTGAGTAAATTAACTTCCCTGAACCAAATTGGTGTGTCTGGAAAATGGTGAAAGATATAAAAAATAATGAAAATAAAACTAACAACATGCCCAAACCAGTAAGCCATTTTGAATCAAATCACAAAACAAACTGACATGCACTGGTTATATATAAGGTTCTTACTAAGTTTGTATAAAATCAGCAATTGTCATATCTTTAAACAAAATCTGTAAAAGTATCTAACAATAAGTCGAGAAACTAATTGTAAACAAAAAACAAAACTGAAAATTTTGATTATGATTGTGAAACAAATTGATGTGCATCAGTGTAAACCAATCATGAGCATAGCAATGCCAAGTTGAAATGGAATTGATTCAGGTATGTATGAGAAATGGGTGATTGAATGTTGATTTTTGAATTATTTTGGGACTGAAATGGCTGCCAATAGGTCAAAGGTCAACAAGAAAAAAAACATGTGGTGTATGAAGTCATAATGTGGAGAGATACACACGTTATCATATACAGTGCTTCTAGATCTATATAAAATTGCAAAAACGTATAATGCAATTTAAAACAGCATTCCTACAGTGAGATTACTACATATACTATACTTACTGGTTTGTAATGTGAGGATATACTGTTTCCATTCTGTGGAAACAACTTAGCTCTTGGTAATGTGACAACACTAATACCTTCTGGGCTTTCTTCACAATATTCATGTTGTCTTGGTTTAAAGTTATTCAAAACAACAATACACTGCAATCAACAATTGAGGTAAGTGTTACATTCCAATCACTTTATAGAATGTTCAATCACAACATATAAATTTCCCCTCATTAACTAAGCCAGCCAGATAATGGGGCATTGCCTCCAAGAGTAGAATGTTGCATGACCTTGTAATACATTTGTGCCAGTTCAGTTGAGATGGTCATGACAAATCAGTGTCTCACACTTTAGCTACTTCAAGCAGTGCACAGAAATGGACAGAACCTTGGGACAGAAATGGACAGAACCTTGGGACAGAAATGGACAGAACCCTGGGACAGAAATGGACAAAAACCTGTGACTGAAATGGACAGAACCCTGGGACAGAAATGGACAAAACTCTGTGACAAAAATGAACTGAACCCTGGGACAGAAATGGACAGAACCCTGTGACAAAAATGGACAGAACCCTGTGACAAAAATGGACAGAACCCTGTGACAAAAATGGACAGAACCCTGTGCCAGAAATGGACAG